AGCAAATAATATAATTGATTATATTGTCTACTACTGAGGCAAAATCCGATACTCCTATAGCAACTTAGAATTCTTAGCACAAATTATCCATAAAGAAGGTATGAATAAAATTTAAATTGAGATCTTCATTCGAATCAACAACGATTTGGGAAATCAACGTATCGCACCATTATTCTATATGCCCTTCTGTTATTTATACCTAAACCATTAACATTATATACCTACCACTTCATTCTACCTATGAGCACTATAAAACTAAGGTTGATTTCATACAAGCAGCAGTCAATCTGATAACGAAAGTTGTGAAGACAAGTTGTAGTAAAATTAATTATGGACCAAAGTAGTAAATTAAGGCTCAAAGGATTGAAATGTTGTGCAAATATAAATAATCCGAAATGCAACCGAAATAAGTTACGGGCCATATCGTCCAAACGATGAGCATTTGTGAGTCATGCCGTAGCGTGATATCTCATAATAGAAGTCCAGTTATGAAAAAACGCCGATCGGTTGGAAATGAAGTAAATATCCAACCGTCAACTAGTGGACAGCAGCATAGTGATGATCCAGGTCCATCAATGAGTGGCCATCAATCCGTAGATGAGCTAGGTAAGAACAGTCATCCTGATGATTCTATCAAGCAGATGATCTGCAACGCCCATACAATGTTGAGAAGTTTAATGGCTTTGTGGAAACGTTGAATTTATCTCCGATTTCATCGAGGAACATGAGGAGCATGGATTATCGTTCAATAAAATCTCTAGAAATTGCACAAGCAGTACGAAAAAATATATTTGGCCTAGATACAGCAGACATTAGCAAAGTAGAGGCATACTAAGAAATAATTGTGCAGCTAAAGGAGAAGTTCAATTCCCTTACAGCTGACAGAAAAGATCAGATAACAGTATTATAAGTATTGCCAAAGTCTTGGTCCGTGAATAAAGTCGTAGCAGAACTCAACGCACCAACGTACATGGTGAGGTAGGTAAAGAGCCTTGTATATGAGCAGGGTATTCTAAGCACACCCAACAAAAGAAGTGGGCATGGGATCAACGATGATACAAAAAAAATAGTTAAGGAATCTTTTGATGACAATGATATTAGTAGACCTATGTCCGGAGCAAATGATTTTGTTTCCGAGTTTAGAAATGGACGAAAAAACACGTTCAAAAACGCCTGTTAATGATGTCCTTCAAAGAAGCGTACATGATTTTTGTTGATAAATATAAAGATATTAATATTGGTTTCACTGTATTTACACAATTGCGACCAAAACATTGCATTTTGCTTGATCACAGACAAACAGACATAACACATAGAATATTTCTCACTGTAAAACATCGTCGCTAAAACATTGCCGCCATCTGTTGAGTCCACTGTGGTGGATAGTACGCTGAACAGATGGCGGTAGTGTGTAAACGTCAAACGCAAAGGAATTGACTATGCGCGCCGCATGTGGCGGTACTACCAACTATGATACTTTTAAATTGACCGATAAATGCGTGTTCGATGAACAACTTGCGAGTGTTATGTTTGCTTGTCTGTGGCTTGATTCTACTGGTATACATAATGTATGTATTTGTACAATTCATGAAAATGTAAAATTAATGATCAACAGTTTAAGAATTATGTCACAAGGTGCAATAATAGAAAAAAATGCTTTGTAATATTTCTACTAGAACAACTGATTGCTTTTTCCGTGCTTGCGAAAAGTGTGCTTCCAATGAACATATTGAAGAGGAACTTACTTTGCTATTAGAATCAAATGACAAACAAGATGTTGTGTTTCAACAGTGGATGAATACTGATCGTTGTAATTTGGAAACGATTATCAAGCCTGTTGATGAATTTGTTCCGTATCTCATTGATAAAATTAACAAACCTATATCTCATGACTTTATTTACAAACAACAGTCATCTTTTCTAAGAAATAAAAAAGAATCATTAAAAGAAGGTGAAATTCTAGCAATTTGTGATTTTTCTGAAAATTACTCATTCTTTATCCAAAACGCTGCTCAAGGATATCACTGGAATAATTCTCAAGCAACAATACATCCATTTGAAGTTTATTATAAGAAAGACAATAAACTTGAAAATGTTAGCTTCATTATCATATCAGAAGTAATGACTCACGATACAGTTGCAGTTCAGTTGTTCATCTCAAAAATGATAGATTTTATTGAACAATCGATAGATTTTTCTAAAATTACTTTTATGTCAGATGAGGCAGCATCACAATACAAAAATAAAAAAAAAAACTTTGCTAGTCTGTGTAGATTTCAGTCAAAGCATGGATTAGAAGCAGAATGGCATTTTTTTTTGCAACGTCTCATGGAAAAGGTCCCTGTGATGCCATTGGTGGCACCAGCGAATGGCAAAGTGAGCTAGTCTTGCTCGAGATTATGGAAACACCATAACAACTCCACGAGAATTATATAACTGGGCAGTTGAACAAACAGATAAAAATATCATAAAACTACGTTTCGAGTACATATCCACTGAACAGTACATCGAAATGTCAGAAGAACTCGAAGAACTATATAACAGCACAAAGACAATATCTGGCACACATAAATTCCACAGTTTTGTGCCTATAACTGGTGAAACAGTAGCGGCAAAAAGGTATTCTAATTCAGAAGATGAACCAAAAATATTTAACTTGATTGGTAAAAGGAAAAAATAGGTTTAAAACATTGAAAATTTATAAATAAATGATATATGAAAAATCTTGTCTTTTTTCTCTCACATATTATCAAATTTTGCATCAGTAGTAGACAACAGAAAAAGGGAATGATATTTTTTTCGACAAGGTCTACATGTCCAAATAGTTTTATTGAACTCTGAGAGGATGCTGCCAATTCCAAATACGATTTGGCAAGAAATGCATCATGAGCCCTTTTCATATGAAATTCTCGTTTAATCCAAGTGAACTTAAGTGCTGATTAGTTAAAATTGAATCGCAAATTGAGCTTCATTAGATTCTGAGACGATTTTGAGCTTCACTGGTTTAGTTTTGTGTGAAAATGGTAAATCAAAAAAAAAAAAGGTTTAGACATGAAAAAGTTTTTGTAAGAAAAACTTTTTTTCCTTAAAAGTGCCCATCTTGCAATGTATGGACTGTTGGTAGTAAACTTAATTACCTATCTTGAGGCAAAGTTTCATCCAAATCAAACGTGGCCATTTTTTTAAATCAACTTTAAATTAAAAAAAAATTTCAGTGTAGGTCTCAAATGAAATTTTTTCCAGTATTTTTTTTTTCGATAACTTGGACAATTTCCTAAAAGTCGTCCATACAACACATTTTTGTAGAAGTTGTCATTTTTCCATAATATTTTTTTGAAAAAAATCGGCAGAAAAAGTTGGGCCCTTCTCAAATGTTAGTCTAGATAAATTTTGAAAAAACTAAGTATGCAAAGTGGCATATTTAGTCAAGGTCCACACATCCAGAAAGTTTCATTGAAATCTGAGAGGGTACTGCCAGCTCCGAATACGATTTGGCGCGTTCTAACAAAAAACAGCTCATGATTTGCTCAAGTCTAGCTCAAAACCTTGTAGGAATGATCCAAATGAATTATAATTATTGAATTTTTGTTGAATAATGTCCCATTGCACCTATACGTCTAATTCATAGATAGGCCTATTCTGCGCGGCGTGTGAGGTGAGGTGACTCGCTAACACTACTGAAGTGATAATTGACACCTCGGGTGAAGTGACTCCTCGTGCAAATCAAATGGATAATCACCCTCACCCCGATATCAATCATACAAGGTCTGGCTCAACCGGCTTATTAGTATATAAAACCAGCAAGTTAATTCTTTTCGAGGTTAGCCAGGTATGTGGTATGGAAAAATAGACGTTTTGTATTGTAACTGAAGTGGTCTACGTTTGTTTGACGACGATTAAATAAATAAATAAATTTAAAAATAATAATCATAATAGCCTCAGAACATTCAAATTTATTTCTTCAATAGGTCTTTATGAGTATGGTTTACATGCTCTGCAAACAATTCTCTTTGAATATATTTTTACGACAACTTTACAAGAAAATATGTAAGCACTAAAACAACGAAGTTTATTTTCCATTTAATTCCTCTTAATTCATATTGGTATCCATGACAGATACGTATTTCGACTATAATGTGCAGTCTCTTCATCAGTGTCGATCAAGGGGGGAGGTGGCTGTCAAATACGAACAATCGTCGCCTACCTCGCATAAGTGGTTCCGAACGTAAACAAGCCATAAGAAACCTACAGCGTTTGTTTACGTTTGGAACCAATTTCATACAAGAATGATCAGTAGGCTGATTTGACAGCACGTCCCCCCCCCCCCCCCAGGTGTCGATCGCAGTAAATACTATAGATACTGTAGATTCCATAGATAAGCGGAGGCGAAGTAGAATGTAGCCAAACGAACTGTAGCACAAAACACTTTTCACATTTCACATTCCGATTTATTTCGCGTAAAACGGAAGAAGGAAATATTACGCCTATCACTCCTCGATTCATTCTTGCAAAGATTTGTTTTGCACTTCATTTTAAACTTTTGCACACGAAACAAAACTGCACAACGAAGAGCCTTACGATGAACATTTTTCACGGATGCTAGTAAAATAATTCATTTTTCATGGTTGCCAAAAAAAAACTTTTTGTGCCTCCGTTTTCTATGGAATCTATAGTATCTATAGTAAAGACCAAAATCTAACCCTTTAAGTATTCATCTCCTAGGTAAAAAGCACAGAAATTAAATGGAAAATTACTTTTTTTTTTGCTATTTTATGAAAAGGATGTATTTTTTAGGCAAAAGAAAGGATGTCCTCCTTTAGGTTCCCATATGATAAACCTAACCCCACTGATCAACTCGACCCCATTTAACGGTGCGTGTGTTTGTAAGCCGTTCAAAGTACCAGGTAGCAGGTTGGATTTGATTTGCCTGGTTCTTTGAATTCGATAAAAGATAAAGGATTTCTTTCCGTGTTAAAACAAATGGTTACAAATAGTCTATATCCGGTTTTACGTTATGTATGGTTTGAATACATTGCATTTTTCTTGGTCTAACCGAAGCACAGACTGTTTAGCTAATATAGAATTGCCATTTGTACATCTATCGTGCTTTACATAGTTTGTCGGAACAGCTTGTTTTGGTTGACTTGTAAGGCTACTATTAGTCTGTGGATGATCAGTATTAGATTGAGGGCTTTCAGCATTAGATTGGATAATATTTTCGGGATTGATCTTTTTGACTTCGGTATATTGTGTGTTGTTTAAAACAGATGTGGTATTGTGAGCAAGCTTCTTTGAATCATTTATCTTTTTAGATCTTTTCCATTTCATCCTCCGGTTTTGAAACCATATTTTTACCTGAAAATAAAATAAAGTGTTATTATCGGATGTTATTACATTGCATTTTCGTTTTTCAAATAAGACATGATTGTTTAAGAAATAAAGTATAAAGTAAATAAGGGAATTAAAAAAAAAAGATGATAAGGCCGAGGAAACTAACCACGGAATTAATTCTTACTACGATAAAAGATAAAGTTTACATGGTGTAATGAACAAATTCATTTTTATTTTTGAAAAAATTTTGAATAAAAAAGAAAGGATTTTATATTTGGTTCACTAAAAAAAAAAAAAAATTTCATAGAAGTGTGCTTTTTCTGTGCGTGCATCAAAATTCCTGAAATCTTATCTGCTGATTGATCAAATATTCAAGGTTTATCTGTGTAAGCTTGATTGTTTGAATGTGTCGGAAGTTTGAGGGATTTTAGCAAACCTCTACTTTTTTCGGCATTTTTATCAAACTGCTATATTTTTAAGAAAAAAGAGACATTTTGCTGAGCTTTTGCTCATTTGTTATAAAAAAAAAGATTGTTTATTTGGCTTCCATTTAACTTAAATACTTTCAGTAGAAAAAAAAATTTCAAAAGTTTAATTTATTGTGATTATTTTACATTGATTATGGCTCAAAAAAATAAGGAGTGTTGGCAAATGGCAAAAGTTTTCACCAGTTAAACAAAAGTTGTAAAGGTATTGTGAGGGAACAGAAAAAATCGCATACATAGCTGCAGCTGCTACATTTAGCAAATGAATAAAAGGATTTTTCTATATAGTGTTAGACAACCAACCAAGAAATATACTTTTTTTTTCACCTAAAATGGTTGGTTGTATAAGTTGCTGCATTCATTTTTCGATCAACTGTGTCCCTGGAAAACTGGTACCATGCTGTCAGTAGGGACCAAATAAATAATTTGCCTCATAAAAAAAGAGCACGGTTATGTTAATTCTCTTGAAGCAAGTATGGATCTTCATAATTAATATTAAATTCCGAAGGATCCGATGTTCGTGGAAATTATTTTCGAAGACTCATCATAACCTCCCTCCATTGGATAACAGAATCCGTTTAAAAATTTTCTGGATACTGTGACTCACTCAATATGCTTGTCAACTGGGAGTTAATGTGAACTGTCAAACGGAAGCCAAACAATCAGAAGCCATAAATGTAGTACTCTTCGTATCGATCGCCAAGTATTGTCATCTCATACTTTGTCGTATCACATGATTAATTGTAAGCTCAATGGCATAAACCAATATACTCAGTAAAGAAAGCACATTTTTGATGACTCAGTTGGGTTAAAATTTAAATATAACATGAACAGATGAAACAAGAATGTAAACAAACTTTATTAGAGTCAGGGATGCTCGAGCACTTCTAGTTCAGAGTTTTTGAGGAGGAGCGAAATAATTGAATAATTTTGCTAAAATGTTCAAGTATTTTTCCACTGGCTTGCAAAATGAAATCTACTGATTCTGCAGTACCCAGATAATTACTTATTAAATGTAAAATTATTTTAAGGTCATTGGCCTCCGTAAGTTTTTTTTTTAACATTTTAACCTGGACTAATCAAATTCTTCTTCTTTTGGCCATTACGTCCTATCTTGAACTTTATACCGGCTCTCGACTTACACACTCAGCAGCTCAGCAATATTTTTTGAAGATCACATTATATTGATGATGGTGACGAATGGGACTTGAGCGGAATTGCTTGGTTTAACGACTTTCTCAGTCTTAATGTATTCTAACGACTACGATTTAATCCGCCCGACGTTTCGGTCATGGGTTGTAACCTTTTTCAAGGGAAAACATTGTCGTTGTTGTGATCGATTTTACACATTTTGGTATTATTTAATTATATTTTGGGAAAGATCAACGCTCACTGCATAAGTTTTAAAATTATTTAATTACAATTAATACCAGTAGTATAATTCATCATCATTTGCTATAATGTGCAAGTTAAGAGAAAAATGATAAAAAATAAATTTATAGTGAGCGGTGAAGGGCGACTAAGTTAGCGGTGGATGGCGGCTTTATGATACTAAGGGGATGCGGCTTTCAGTTATAGCACAAACGAAGTTACAGACGAATAACTGGCGAAAAAATCAATTAAAATAATGTGGTTCGCAGTAATAGAATATTTTGTTTGATTTGAACATAGTTGATTTTGTGTGCAATATGATCTTTGACAGTGTGCAAAGAGTGTATCATTTTGTCATTTTTTTTATGCATTTCAGTTTAGAGTAGAGTGAAAGAGACAGAACCAAAACATTCTAGTACCTTTAGTGTTGCCATGTGGTACAATCCAATAGTAGTGGTGTTGCCATGTGGTACACTGAAAAATTGCAATAGCAGGTGCGTCACCAAAGTTTTCGAGCCGCTCCGTCTGTCACTTCGTTTGTGGTTATAGCATCAATAGTCAACAATTCTTCTAAACTATACTCCAAAAGAGTTGACATATCGAAATTAGTTTTTTAATGTGGTTTTTATCACAGTCCTTTTTTGACTCTTCATGACATTTCAAAGAGCTCTACATTTTCAGTATGAGCATCGTAATTTCTAGAAATGTAACTTCTAGTTGACCAAATATCAGATTAATTTGAGGCTTGATTGGCCAAGTCTGTATAAAGATTGAGCAATTTTTCGTAAATCGCTTCTTATTTAACTGCCTTTTTTCAGTCTGTTATTTTTTGAAGTGAAATGAACAATATTAGCAGAAATTTTGAATATTTGTTGTCAACACATTCTTTAAAACTGTTCACAATCCGTTATCGACGAAAAAAGTTACAACAGTTTGACATCATCTATGAAAAATGGCTAATTTTTCAACTTAGTGGCTTTGATTTTTCATTTTGCAGTTTTCTTTTATTGGATTTATAAATTCTTATATTGGAGTGTGTATATTAATCTTAAAGTCACCTTCTTGGATTTCAATATGATGTTATTGGTAGACGATATTCCTTTAAGATTTTATTTTTTAACCAGTTTTAACTTTTTTCTTCGTGAACGGATTATAGGTAATTTTAAACAGTTAAACACAATATTTTTTAACTACTATGTGTCTACAAAATAGGCTGAAAGAGACAACACATTGAAATTTGAACAATCGTCTATCACGGTATCTCTGAATGAAAAACTTATTAAAAAATCAATATCGCTTAAAGGGATGGTCCATTAATTATGTCACGCAAATTTGGCCAATTTTCAACCCCCCCTCCCCCCTTTGCCACATTTTTTGTATGAACCTTAATTTTTTTTTGTATGGCTCGTCAGTTTTTAAACCCCCCCCCTCCCCCTAAATGTGTGACATAATTAATGGACGACCCCAAATAAATGACAGTTTAGGGTCAACCCTTTTATATGAAACTATTATTGTAATGCTTTAGAACATTTTTTTAAATTTTTTTCGTGTTTTTCAGTGTTAATCACGTCCAAAATTTAACTTTCTCGATCAGTGGTGGCAAATGAACATTTTTTTCTAAAACTATCGTCCAGAACGAAACAAAACCGAACAAAACAGCCTGCACACGGGTGGTAGTATATGTCTACATTTCATTATTGCGCGTTTCTCACCAAATTGGACTAATAAGCGCGTTTTCACTTATTAAAAAGTGTGTTAAAACTGCAAGTTTACGTCTAATCGTCTTGGTGTCTTGCGTGCACTTATTTCTTATGATGCAAGCAATAAGTGCTCCGAAGACATCAAAACGATTTGACGGAAACGTGTACTTTATCAAACTTTTTGCATTTTTGAGACAGTCCAGTTTCAGATGCAATCAGCAATATTATTTATCTTTAAATTCCATGCAATAAATAAATGTAGTAATTAGCCAGAAATCAGCAACATTATTCATACATTTATGTCGCGCAGGCGCGGTCTTCTTTGTGCGAAAATGTTCTGTCGCTGGCAGAAAACAGTTCAGAAATGTCATGATATTTTTGCCGCTTTTCAGTTTGTTTTGTGTCTTCACTATGGTCATTGCGAAAAGTATCAAATGTTAAGAAAAAAAAGTTAAAATACAGTAGGGTAGAGCGCTACTTCGCCGTAATTGCCCATTTCCGTTCTATCAATCAGAAAAGATCAATAATATCAATGATTTCATCGTGCAGAAATCAATAATAGGTTTGTTCTGATGCGTTAGTTAATTAGCTACAACATAAATCCTATTAGAGCGCATTGTATCAACATTTACGCTCATTGTTCTCAAAACAAAAAAAGCGCTCCTAGCGAATCACCTTTTTCTACGTTTATCAGTAGGACGAAGAAAATCTAATGGCGTTTTAATGCGTTAGGACGGAATTGAAACTCGTAGAACGAATTTAGAATCAAGAAGCAGTAGGGGAATTTACGTATTCTCGTCAATCTAAGCAGCGTCTGCACTTCTACTAGCATTTTCTCAGCGTCACGCACATATATGATGTGTATGTTTGTTTACAATCATCTGCTGCTTGCTTTTCTATCCATTCCAATCGACAGAATTATTCAAAACGTTTTGAAAGCGTTTTTACAACGCTCCAAACTTCTCAGGTGAGTGTGACTATTGTCGGCAGCCTCTTTTTCTTCGGCAACCTTCCCATTAGAACTGCGTGTTAACCAGCTGTTCTATTATCGGCAACTCGAAATCAACCCCATTTTGTAGTGCGTATGCTTTATTTGAAGAAAAATGTAGCATTACTGGATTGCTCGATCGTTCAAATATAATCGGATTGAAGCTGAAAGGCTAAACAAGCGTTTGGACACATTCAGGGAAGTGCGTTGATGGGAAAACATAGTGAAATTAACGTTTAAATTTTGGTTGCCGAAAACAGTCAATGGGTGCCGAAGCCAACATTTACCCTATTAGATTTAAGCAATATCTCAACAATTTGTGACTCTTTATTAAATCCAACGGAAAGGTGGATGGAAAGGTGAATATATTTAGAAGTCATCTTTGACAGAAATATTCCATTTTTTTATTTAAACTCGTAAAGAAAAGAGAGGTAAAGTGCGGGTTGTGCTTAGTACGACGGAAATTAGATCAAAAACGAGTAGGGCCACCACTGTTCTCTACCATTGAAGCCTAAACAAGGCAATGGACGAGTGCACCTATGAACAGGGTGTGCCTTCCATTCATTTTGGCTAAAAAAATGTTTTATTAAATTATAGAATAATAAGATATTATGATGATATTTTGTATGTGTAAGTAACAAGAAAAGATTGTAATGTTTGTGTTTGACGCATAAAACCTGCAAATTTAGCTTTGGCAGAGTCACAATGAGCGATTTTCTAATCGCCTCTTCGCGAAGAATGAAGAGCGAAGAGTGCACGCTAAGATCAGTTTACCGAGACGGTACAAAGAGATTACCGAGATTGGCCGTATATTGCACAAACTCACATATGGGTAAATTTTTTTAACCCAAATATGGGTTCTTATGATCCATAAATGATTTATTTTTATGCAAATTTGACTTAAATTTACCTATATTTGGGTTGAAAAATTTACCCATATCTGAGTTTGTGCAGTTTACGCCTGATTTGGGTAAAGTAAACCTACATTTGGGTTATCTGATCTTAGCGTGTGGGTAAGATAAATGACAAAATCGCTTATTGCGACACTCGTGTAGCAAAATTGGCAGGTATTATGTGTCAAACACAAATTTCACAGTCTTTTCTTGTTGCTTGCACAATCAAAATATTACTATAATATCTTATTATTCCATAATTTAATAAAACATTTTTTTATCCAAAATGAATGGAATTTGAGTTCACTCACTCGAGAAAAAGTGACACAAGCTGCGGGCAATGTTTACTATTCATGAACACTAAATGTTCATGAATAATGAAGTGTTCATGATTAATAAACATTGCCCGCAGCTTGTGTCACTTTTTCTCGAGTGAGTGAACTCAAATCCATCTGTGCACTCGTCCCCGATAGACGAGTGCACGGATGGCTTTGAGTTCACTCACTCGACAAAGTGACACATCAGCGGGGCCCTGTTTACTAAAAATGAACACATGAATAATACTCGCGTAACATTTGAAACAGGCCTATCAACTTTTGTACACAAAACTTGTTAAGCCCTTTTCGTGCGAACCGAATACGCCCACGCAAACTAACAACACCATCGGGTAGGGGAAATTCTCCCCTTCCCAACAGTGGCTTGGTTTGCGTGGGCGTACTTCGGTTCTCGTGAAAAGGACCTGGGAAATTGTATACAAAAGTTGATAGGCCCTTTTCAAATGTTACGTGAGCATTATTCATGTGTTCATTTTTAGTAAACAGGGCTCCGCTGTTCCGTCAATTTTTTTCAGTAGATGAACAAAAGTTCACCCATGCACTGGTCTATAGACGAGTGCACGGATGGATTTAAGTTCACTCAATCGACAAAAAGTAACACAACAGCGGGGCCCTGTTTACTAAAAATGAACACATGTGTTCATTTTTAGTAAACAGGGCCCCGCTGTTGTGTCACTTTTTGTCGAGTGAGTGAACTTAAATCCATCCGTGCACTCGTCTATAGAACATTTCAAAACTAGCCTCACACGCAACTGTCATTTGGATGAGATTGCTCATCTTTACCCTGACGTTCTCTGACGCTTGCTCATTTGGGTAAATTATAAGTATAGGTGCGCGTATATGTGTATATGGTTCACTTCCTTTTATGCTTTAATATAAGTAAGTGCAAGAAAACCGTGTACATATGCGCGGACCTTCAGAGATTTTCACGTCCGGTTGTATTGGTGCGATATGTGAGAGCGTGTTAGTGAATATCCGAGGAAAATACATAGGGGAAATGCAGGTAATGTCGGCCTAAGTGTCCCTAATTTGAGCCCACACAGCAAAAAAAATGTAATATCGATCAATGTAATTCAAGCTGATGTATGAAATAATGATGTAATAGCAAAAAGCAGATACAATATTACATCAATGTATGTAATTTTGTTCACAAAATCGATGTACATCGTACAACGTTATATTACACAACCGATGGATTGACCTGGTTGCAGCAGTTTGGATGTAATATTCAACAACTTTTTTTTCTGTGCATACATAAATTCAGCAATCGACTAAATTTACAATAGCAACCAAAAATATCCATTAGTAACGTCTCAATAACGTGTTCATCTTGATAAAATTGATAAATAGCAGATTTTTAGCGATGGGCCCAATCTTAGATCCATAGGCCAACATTAGAGACATTTCCCCTACCAAATCGATGTCAAACTCATTTTGACTGATCTACTTTCATACATTTTTTAGGTTAGCCAGAAGAAAATAATAAACAAGGTTACACGGCGTTGCTCCCGCTAGTACACGCCACTAATCTCTATACTTATAATTTACGCTAGTGAGCAAACTCCAGAAAAGTCTTTTCAGCCTCTTTAATAATTAAATTATTGCTACAATAGACTGCTCTGACGTTTATCTGAATGCTTATGAGTGAGTTTAAGAATTGAGTCAGCTCCATAGACCCAATGACTTAATATAGACTTCTCTGACGTTTGTCTGAATGCTTAACTGTGAGTACAAGAATTGAGTCAGCTTCATAGATTTCTCTAAATGCTGTAGTATTAGTGCTGATCATTGCGGTTAATTCAAAGAATAAGTGCGTGACAACAAAGAATAAGTGCATGAAACAATATCACAAACGAAGTGACAGACGACTAACTGGCGAAGAAATCAATTAAAATAATGTGGTTCGCTGTAATAGAATTTTCTTAGAAGCTTGTGCCATCATCCACCAGATGGGATACTATTTTTGTTTTGGTTTTGCACTAAGTTGATTTTGTGTACAATGATTCTTTGACAGTGTGCATCATTTTGTCATTTTTTTATGCATTTCAGTTTTGAGTAGAGTGAAAGAGATAGAACCAAAACATTCTAGTACATTTGGTGAAAATGGTAGTTCAATCAACAATCAATACGAAACTAACGATTTTAAATTGGCTCACTACTTGACTAGCCTATTGGTCCCAAGCAAACGGTTAACGTATCCCATTCTAGTCGAAATTCTAGTACAACGCAAAGTTTGTTTTGATTAGCTATGAAAGTTTGACAGATAAAATGAGGGGTTATTGGTTTTTCCTATGTTTCGAGGGGTGAATCGATTAGCTTGGGACCGAAGAGAGTACCAGAGCTGAGCCAAAAAGTTGAGCACGTTATTTCGGGACCTTCTAGTCTTAGAGTTACCTCTATGGTTCAATCCAGTAGTAGCAACAATCAATATGAAACTAACGATTTTAAATTGGCTCACTACTTGACTAGCCTATTGGTCCCAAGCAAACGATTAACGTATCCCATTCTAGTCGAAATTCTAGTACTACGCAATGTTTGTTTTGATTCGCTATGAAAGTTTGACAGGTAAAGTGAGGGGTTATTGGTTTTTCCTATGTTTCGAGGGGTGAATCGATTAGCTTGGGACCGAAGAGAGTACCAGAGCTGAGCCAAAAAGTTGAGCACATTTCTTCGGGACCTTCTGGTCTTAGAGTTACCTCTATGGTAGTAGTGTTGCCATGTGGTACAATCCAGTAGTAGTTGTGTTGCCATGTGGTACACTTAAAAATTGCAATAGCAGGTTAGTCACCCAAGTTTTCGAGCCGCTCCGTCTGTCACTTTGTTTGTGACAATATCATTGTGCTTTCCACACAATATACAAAATTATGCATTGGTTAGAAAGCTCTCAATTAATAATTGTGGAAGTGCATCTACAACACTAAGGAGCATTAGAGAAGCGTAAAAAGCCTAAAAGTTGAATAAGCTGACTCAATCCTTGCACTCACACTTAAGCATGCAGAGATCTCTATTACCTGTGTTTCAGATAGCAGCAAGTTGTTTGCAACTTCATATCGCTTTGGTCTTGACAAATACTTGCTGACTTTGAATTGCTTCTCCAATTCTAGCAATTGTTGAGATGTGAATGCTGTACGAGGTCGTCGATTCTTGCCGTATACAGTGTGCTGTCCTGCAATGAAAAATGTATGTTTAATAAAATTAATAAATACATAAATAGGTAGGATCAATAACTTATTATTATGGGTTGCTTGATTATTCGTTACTGAATTAATCAGAATTTAATACCGACGTGACGGGCTTCTTTGGACACATTGTGTAAGCAAACTTGAATATGCTCGTACGAAATCATTTTCTTATATTTCATTGTTTTATCGATTGTAACATGGTTAATGGGAGCCTCAGATAGCCTAGTCGGTGAGGCACGATATTACCAAGCCAGAGGCGTCGGGTTTGATTCCCGATCCGGTATTGAAAATCATTCGGGTTAGAAATTTTCTCGTTTTCCTTGGGGATAGAGTAGCAGCAACAATCAATACGAAACTAACGATTTTAAATTGGCTCACTACTTGACTAGCCTATTGGTCCTAAGCAAATCGACTAACGTACTCCATTATAGTATACATTCCAGTACTACACTATGTTTGTTTTGATTAGCTATGAAAGTTTGACAGATAAAATGAGGGGTTAGTGGATTTTCCTATGTTTCGAGGGGTGAATCGATTAGCTTGGGACCGAAGATAGTATCAGAGCTGAGCCAAAAAGTTGAGCTCGTTTCTTCGGGACCTCCTGGTCTTAGAGTTACTTCTATGGTAGCAGTGTGTTTGCCATACAATATACAAACTCATGCATTGGCTCGTGCGAAGGTGAAAGTAACCCATATAGACATGAGCAAATACACAAACCATTCTTCTGAGGTTGTAATCTTTGCTATCCAATTCGTTCGAAGCACGGGTGCACGGATGGATTTGAGTTCACTCACTCGACAAAAAGTGACACAATAGCGGGGCCCTGTTTACTAAAAATGAACACATGAATAATACTCACGTAACATTTGAAACGGGTCTATCAACTTATGTACACAAAACTTGTTAAGCCTTTTTCGCGTGAACCGAATACGCTCACGCAAACTAACAACACGATCGGGCAGAGGAAATTCTCCCCTTCTCGATAGTGCTCTTGGTTTGCGTGGGCGTACTTCGGTTCTCGTGAAAAGGACCTAGCAAGTTATTTACAAAAATTGATAGTCCCTTTTCAAATGTTACGCGAGCATTATTTATGTGTTCATTTGTAGTAAACAGAGCCCCGCTGTTGTGTCAAAAAAATTTCAGTAGATGAACTAAAGTTCACCCGTGCACAGGTCTATAGCGGTCGTATGAGAAAATGGTAGGTTTTCCAGTCTTCTTGATATGTTGTCTTCAGTTTAAGCCAGCTTGGAATGAACATGGCTTAAAAATAAAAAAAAAATGTCTTCCGATATGTGCCTTGTGGTATCGAGCTAAGCATTGAAGCTGAGAATTTGGGTGAGGGGATTTTGGGTATTATGAGGAGAAGAACAGGGAATATATGCGATGGAGATCGCTCCTCTTAGAAGTAAAAGATAAACGTTGTTTTCATTTAAAGTAAGCAGGATATCACATGCCTCTGCACGGACAATCTTCTTACGAGTGTTAGGTGATCGAGAGGTGTAAGTAAGTAGGTACTATGACGAGATAAACTTAACGGTGATACCGCAGAGAACGAAGGTATAGTTACGAATTCAAAAGGTATTGTGTGCTTAATTTATAAACTACCGCGCAATCACACTGCTGTGAGTCACCTATAAGGTTCTCTCTCAAATACTTTTCCATGGGTGCCCGGCGTGGGGCTACAAAATGGAGAGTTGACAACCTGTAAGGAGCTGGATACCTAGCTATGGTCCTCGTAAGTTCCTACCTCACGCCTCCCCGAGTCACATGATAACAAAAGACTACCAACTGAAACACACAGCTGGGTGGCGTAGCCTGTACAATGTTGCCAGTCTGGCAATAGCAAAGTGAAGAGGTGCGACGCAAACACTGGCGCGGTGATAGAGGAAATGCTTCACCAAACCCGAGCGTCTGTTCACCATGGAGGTGCGGCTCAAAACGGCATCTGTTCTCATGTTAGGAGCGACTGATCACCGTCCTAGTGCCAGCGTTGAACTCTAAACAGAGCTGTGCACTAGACTGGCCCAAACAAAATTAATTTTCTACATTTTCTCTGAAATTTTTAGCTCATTTGGATGTAGGATGAGCTGGCGCTTTTAGTTTGAATTTTGTATAGGGAATTTTGATAACATACATAAAAATGACACTGCTACACTCTATCGATCATGAAAAAGTTTCCTTATTCTCGATTTCATTAGGATTTTCAAAACTTGTAGTTTAGTTATTGAAGATTGCATCATGAATCCAGTTAGTTCTATTGAGATATTTGCTTTTGAATGTATATGAGCATTTTGTATATGAAAATTTCGACCAAATCCATATGAACATTAAACCAAACTGTAAACTATATGAACATTAAACCAAAAGCGCCAGCCAATGTAACGTCAAAAAGAGCTGAAACATTCAGAGAGTGTTTATCGCACCAAAAGCCACGGGCTTGGATGTTGACCTGTGGAAAATATGAACTTTTATTTTTAGTGGTAATCAAGTTGTTCCGTTGCATAAGCTGCCTCTATTTTGTTGCAATATACGAGCAGAATGCACATAATTAATTAATATCTTCATAATACTAACTGGAAAATTATTTCTTCATATATTTCAACCAATATCCTCATATAAATTTAAATTAAAAGCGCCAGCTAGTGCTACATCCAAATGAGCTAAAATTTTCAGAGAGTTGTTTTCTCACCTAATGGCACAAATCTAGGGGTTGGCCCGTAGAAAAAATTATAAAAAAAATAAATTAATGTGGGCCATTCTAGTACCTACGTAGCTTATACTGTAGTACTTCGTTAGTTTGAATAGCTAAAATGGAATTTAACCTAAGCTTATTTAGAATATGTTGTACTGGTACCCCTACACAGGTGTTAAATGGCTTTACGCAAAACGTGCTTAGGCTGTGAACCATTTTCCGAGTTAAATTTAACTCGTGGACTTTTCGAAAGTTATTTTATATGTTCGAAAATCCCTGTGCTGTCGATCGACCGGTTTTCGAGAAGAACTTAACTAAGGTTGTCAAAATTTAACTTCTTGTTTGTCAATGTTATCAGCTTACTTTGTCAGCTTACTTAACCATGCTCGGATAGCAGGGTTTATCGATAACTTTCCATCTGCCAAATATTAACCAAAAGTTAAAATAATCCACCAAATAGTGCAGAGCCTTAATGTAGTAGCTCTGCCGCAATAATTATATCAGAATGTTCACGCAAGGGGACGAAGAAGCTAAAAGCCAAATCTTCCCACGTGGTTTGTGGACGGCCTCTTAGTTATAAGTATTTTTAGAAATGTATTGGACACCCGTAAGCATGACATATTTCCACATTTCATTATAATAGATGAATGTCATGTATAAAGCAATATTTCAGCCGTCGATATTAATTTATGTTGTTTGTAGATAGTGAACTGTTTAGTAATTCAAAAATGTAATTCCCGACTCACATTGCATTCGACAGAGAAAAGTTCAACGTTGTGGAAAATCTTACAGTACAGTAGACAGAAGACAGATCTGAAGTATAATAGGCAACATACCGTGCTACACAGCTCGCTATCTACAAATAATATAAATTAATATCAACGGCAACGGCCCATGCTTTCCACATTTCTAGCCAATTTTCTAGCCTTCTGTGCAAAAAAAAAAAAAAAAATCTGTGCACAGGTACGGAAACAGATCGTATGCTTGTTGATGGTATTTATGTTGACCTTACATGTTAGCTGTTAGTCACATGCAAATACCCGTTATCTACGCATAACATTGACTGGAATATTTTTCTCGCAGAAGTCTAATTGTTAATAAGTATAACCGGAAAACTAACGATTGTTTTGATTGAAACAAATTAGGAGCATACGACAAACTTAGAGACGGTCCGTCCCCTTCATTTAATTACCCTAAACACAGTAGCGGAAGGCAATCTAAACCACTTATCACTCGCCCAAAATTGGCCTTATGTGCGAATCTTAATGTAAACCCAAACGTGTTTCCACGTCTTCGTTATGATATAACGCACCCAAGCCAATTACAAAATCTTTTAATTCAATTAGTACTCATTGTAACTATTTTCCAGCACATGCCAAGCAGTTTATCGCTGTCATGAATATCAATAAAGTAAATATAACAGATGTCACTAAACAAAGTTAATTTGTTTGATACGGCTATTTCCCCTAAATATTGAGGGGTGAATTGCCGTATATCAAGTTGAAGCGAAAATCGGCATGCACAGATAAGGGTGTAACCTCCCCTTCTATTATAAACGATGTAAATAATGGTAATTAGGCAATTGTGGATTGGACAGCGAAGATTAAAAGGTGTTGATTTGAAAGCAAAGCAAGTATATGTCATGCTCACTTACATGTATATCGTTCTTGTGTGAAATAAATTGTCTTCATGTAGAGGATACCCAATCAGATTACGGTCCTATGATCGATTACGATTATTACTGTATGTTGGCACTTTAAAGGCTTATCATGTGACAACACTGTTTCACTTACGTTCTTGATAGTTTTTACAATTAATATACATGATTTGATACATAGTTTTAAAACTGACAGGCTCTCGTTATGATAGTGATATTACCCGGCTTTGACACTCTTATACGAACTGACGCCTGCTCTCAACTTAGTGTTCTTTGAAGCACATCGATAGTTTTCTTTTAAGGGAATTGAGAACCAACTAATAATGCACGGATTTTATTGTATATTGTGTGGCAAGCATAAAAATACTCTATTTGCCGAGAAGTCGTGAATTAGTCCAACCCAAAAGATTCTATATAGCGAACCGGGAATCGATCCCGCCGCTTCCGGCACCGTGACTTAACTGACTAGGATATCTGAGCCCCCGAGGTTATACATTTCCAATAACATATTACCATAGAAGGTCCCGAAGAAACGTGCTCAACTTTTTCACACTGTGCGTTAAATTGTATTGAGACGGAGCTCATCTTTATTGTAAGCTCGCTGATCGCATACACGCCTGTAGGACGGTACAACC